ATGAAGGGTCAGGAAAAAAAAAACCAAAAGCCATTAGCCTCAAGTTCAACCTCACTCTCAACCTAACACTTCTTTCTCTACACCTCTCTATCTCTCTCCTCTCTCTCTCAATTCTCTCTGCAAGTGGCTTCTGATTTCATGGGATCTGGTGAGGAGTGAGGTGAAGGAAATTATCTCTGCTGTAGAGGTTTTTTCCTTTTGTGATTCCTTGTGGTCCCCAAATCAATTTTGGAATTTGTGAATTTTAGTGTGTACGATACTATTTCCTGCTCGTGTAAATTGAATATTTTGCTCTTGGAATTATATGCACCAAGCACCCTTAACTTAGTCTTGCAATTAGAACGTTCATGTTCACTGATTCCTTGCTTGTGAACTTGATCATGGCCTGCCTTGTTGTCTTTTTCATGTGAATGCTAAATATTATTTTGCTGCAAATTGTATGAGTTGGTGAAGTACTGAGATATGACTCGTCTTGACATTTTCTGGGCACTGACTAATTCATTTAGCTCTTAAAATTATGAACATTAAAACCTCTGACCTCTCATGTTTGTATCAAATTTCATTGCTGTTAGTACATTCCTTGAGGTCACCTGAGCCTTGCATTATGTGACATTAGCCTTGTGTGCATTTGATTATAAATTATAAGCTAATCATGAATTGATTTTCTTTTTATGCACTTGTTATGCTTGGTCATGAGGAGAACACGAGTATAGGCATTGATGTAGGGCTCAAAATTATGAGGATTTGGCATGAAAAAGATGGAGTTCTAGGCTACTTGGTGAGGAACTTTGATGGAGACGCAGCAAGGAGACTTGGCATGAAGATGAGAGGAATTGGTGCAATGGTGAAACCATGGTATTGGCATGAAGGAAGGTAGCTTGGATTTAAAGACTTGGCAGGAGTGAAGAAGAACCTCAAAGTTTGAATTTTAGCTCGTGAAGTTTGAATTCGGTCTCCTAGGAATGGTGTTTAGGCTTTGTATTTTGATCACAATTGTAACATAATTTGTATTTTGTAATTTTGAATTCAAATATTAATGTAATGGCTTGTGAGTTTCCAATTTCCATCTCTTGTAAAATTTGAAACTTATTTTCAACTTTGCTTTTTAGAAAGCTTGTATTTATTTGGTAAATTTGAATCCAAATGACTGTGATCACCATTCCAAACTTTGTATAATGTGAAGTTCACTTTGTATCTAGAAAATGTACTCTGGGATTCAATTATTTTTGCACTTCTTGATTTTAATCTCTTGTGAATAAATTGGATTTGGAATCTTGTGCTCTTGTCACCTTGAACTCAAATGTTGGAATGTAATCACCTTGGCAACAACCTTAATTCCTCTTGTGAAAATCATGTACCAACATCAAATTTTGAATTCTTTTGTCATTTTAGTCTTGTACTTTAGAACCTTTTGTTGCAATTGATCACTTTTGTAATGACCTTGAAACTTTATCAAATAACCATTCCTTGTAGCACTCTTAAACATCACTATAAACCTTGGTGCTTTTATCCTTAAAACTTTTGCACGGTGCTTTTATCCTTAAAACTTTTGCACGTTTTCTATTTCTTCCATGAAATTTCGTTTGAGATTAGAATGTGATTTCTTCAAGAAAAATCTCACATGACCAAGAAACACATGGGATCCTCCTTTTCCATTTTTGCATCAATTGAAAGAAATATTATTTATTCTGGACCAAACTTTATCATGAGAAACTACTGAAAAAATAAAGATCACAAGCAAATTTATAGTAGATACCAAATAGGATGCTCATGGCCTCCATCTAAGAGATCATGGCCAAAGGTCAAATGATCATCTTAAAGAAATGACCACCCACATTGCAAAATGCTAAGATAAGAGAAATAAAAAGCTAGGACAAATTTGGAGTAAGCAATAATTAAGGAGTTTTCATACTTCCATTGTTTGTAAAGAGGGTCTCCTTTTGTCAGTTCATCTACTGCTCCTGTTAAAAAAACCAAACTTCCATTTGCTATCAAATACCGAGTGAACGGTTTGGACTCATTCGTTATAGTTATTTTCATTCATCTTAGGAATATTAACCTTGAGGGAGTATGAGGAACCCTCTTGGTCATTGCAGCCTATGTTGAAATTATTGTCACCATAGTTTGCGACGAACTCTGGTATGTCAACTCTACGACCATCATTGTTATCGCAGCCACTGTCTTCTCCTCTGCCACCACCATGTTCACAGCCATCGTCGTCTCCTTTGTCGTCGTCGTTTCTACAGCCACCATCATGATCTACACCCAACTCAGGTGGTTGTTCGTCATGGTTCGTTGTGGATGATCCGGTGTAGGTCTGTGCTGGGGAAGGACACCTGTTGTGATTCATCATAGGAGGCTAAGCGGGTGTGTGATGCAGGCCAGATAAGGAAACTCCCCGAACCCTACTAGTTGCGGAAAGTTTTACACTACCACACCTAACCTAGTGCTCTTGATATCATATTGAAAAATAATATATATAAATGCTTTTATGATCTATTCCTTAGCCTAAGGCTAGTTTTTATAGTGAAAATATAATTAATTATTTCTTTGATTTAAGGAGAAAATTATTACAGTAGAAAATAGGAGAACATAATAAAATTCTCTAAAATTGCCTAAAAACAATAAAATAGAAAAACAAATATTGATGTATTTTTCAACAAACTACATTCTTATAGTGGAATAAAATATAATTTTATGTGTGTGTGTGCGCGTACATGTATGTGTGTGTAAGTGTGTGTGTGTGTGTGTGTGTGTGGGGGGGGGGGGGGGGGGGGGGGGGGGGCTATGATTGTGAATAACTTACTCTTGAAGTAAGTTGATGCCTGTGGAAGACCAGGACTGTGGCAGGAAACGTGGCACTACTTGTGGTAACAATCTTATATCCTACGATTTTTTTTCATTTTTTTCATTCTATATTCGTGATAATGCTTGATCCTGATGTTTTTTATTCTCATTCCAGGCTTGGATATTCCAGCACTTTCCCATGATCGTCGGGTGGGGAGTGTACCTGATTACACAGAGCTGATGTCGCGTGCCCGTGCCTTTCTCCCGCTCAGGGGGAATCAGGCGGTCGACCCTTGCAGAGTCCATCTATATTGCCTAGTTGATGAGGACATCCGATACAACGTCTATGTTGATCATCGTGTGATGCACCCGTTTGATGACATCTCCCTATTCTCATGATGGTTGGCATGCAGTTCAACCATCACTGTTCCATATTTGTCTGAGTATATCATGAGGCAGTTTGGCTACAGCCAAACCATTTCCAGACACCTAGTTGTCTCCGGTCCTCTTAGCTTGACCCGTATGCAGATAGAGGAGATCTAAGCCGACTACCAGAGGTACATGGTACCTGACGAGGCTCGGGCGATCAGAGCGCCGAGAGACTAGAGCTGCGTTGATGGCTACATCATGTGGTTCTTCACCGTCTCACACTCCTACATGGTGCCCACTGCCAAAGGATCACCACTCAGACCAACTCATCAGGAGATCTTAGAGGAGCAGCAGTCTCAGTTGAACCACACTCAGGATGTCTTGCCTCGCTGTCGTCAAATAGTGGAGATGGGGCGGGTAGGCATTGTCGTTGGTTTCTTCCCTGGGGGGTCTGACCACAGGCGTGTATTAGATGACATGATTGTGGTGGCAACGAAGGCACTTATGTACCGCAGGTGTCGCGCCAGGACGGGTGGGATCGATGGCCGATGACGCAGATCGGGCGGTCGAGAAGACGGAAGAGGCAGACGAGGTGACAGAGGCATAGGCGGAGGAAGAGATGCATATGTTGTCAGACACACACAGTAGTGACTGTGATGTTCTTTGGATATACTATATTTTGATGACATTGATGTACTATTTTTTGATGATGATTATGACATATGACTTCTTTTATATATCATATTATTTTATTCACAAATGTATGTCATTTTATATTCATCTACAAATGTATGTCATTTTATATTCATCTGCAACAGTTAATTTCCATCTACGACGAACAAAACTTGATATTTTTTAAAAATCTATTCTAATAAGATTTTGGAGATGCATCCACGAAATTTTTTCCGTAGATGTGTCTCCGAAAACATCCAGCATAAAATAGAAAGAAAAAAAAAGTACTTCGAATATGTATCTCTGAAAATAGGAGACATAAAAGAAATTTCGTTAGGTGTTTAAGAATATCAAAAAAAAATAAATTAAAAAATTCACATAACACTTTTGGAGATCAAGACAGCACAAATTATCACTTCCAGTGATCAAACCGCAAAAGTAGATGTCAAATTATATCACAATTGTAAATGAAGGCACCATTATTTTTGCACCTAACTTCAGACGCAACCTATTATTTTTGCACCTAACTTCAGACGCAACCCATTATTTTTGCATACTTACATATCAGTCCATCGCACATGCTGACCCTATTCTCAAACACCGCAACAATCGCAATGTTTTTCTCATAACCATATGCAACTTATTTTTCTACCCTCACCATTTCAATCAAATACAAAACATGAAAGTGCACATATTCCTCCTTCAATGCAATTGAAAACAGTATTTTCGAATTTTGCAGTAGCCAATTCTGAAAGGAATTTTCTGTAATGATTCTCAATCTCAAGCCAAACCAACATATTACAACACCATTGAATTGAGTCCAATGTAACTAGCTATGCACTCAAAAGAGCTGACACATAATTTACAGAAATCACTACTCACTGGAAGAGAAAAATATGACATGTTTCAGTTTCATCATAAAAAAAGAAAATGATGTGCAAACAAGATCTTCTCTAAATTATAAAATAATGAAGCTCATGTTTGGCTTCGACGATCTATTTCCATAATACTTTCCTCAACACAAGCCACATACCCCAAGTTACTTGTTACAATGTATTAATTCTTAATCTCTGTTAAATTGGATATACAGTCTGGTGGATCACCAGAGCTCAATGTCTACTACGGGTACAAGTACAACACTACATACAAAGGTAACAGATCATACAGTCACATCAGCCAGGACCTGGAAGTTCCATTGGGGCCAAAGATCTAGACGGTAAGGGAACACCAGCTCCCCTCAGTGACAAAGGAGGGCCTCTTACTGTGCTCGCTCTGCTGACAAGATTCGAGTCAAGAAATACTACTACAACTGTGATGTCATCGTGAAAATGACGGCGGACACCACGATCAATTTTCTTCAGATCAGAGTACCTCATCTCTCTTTTCTTCGCCGCTTCAAGCAAAGCCACTTTGATCAGCTTCCGAGCACTCCCCTGGAAGATAGAAAACATGTAATGTCTACAATACATATATCCTCTACTCGCTTATGTTGATATTTGAAGTGGAGTAACTAAGCAATAAAATTTAAAAACCATATAACAACATAGAAACAGCCATATATTGCATTCGTCTTTCTTTCTAACATATAGTATATTTATCTTACACTGTGAGGATGATTTTGAACTATATCAACAGCATCCTGATTGCTAAGGTGTTCCCAAAGACCATCAGAGGCAAATATCAGAAATTGATCGTGCTCTTGTAGCTCATGTGTAGAAATGGATGGGTCAGAGCTCAAAATTGGACTTTTAAAAGTTTCCCGAAGGCGAAACTTAGCATACAGTGGTTCCTTGTTAAACTCTGCCTTTTTAAGGTATACATCACCAATGGATCTAGAAACCTGCCACACAAAACAAACATAAGCTGTATTCTAAATAACAAGTCCAAATAATTCTCCATCATATGGAGACCAAATTCACTTGAAACTTTAATCCTTTATGTAAATTTCTTTCATTTGCTGTGCTGGAAGATCTTTGAATCAAGAATTAAATACTTATTAAAACCTACAATTACAGGTAGGACTGTTTAAAAAAACAGTCGAACCAAACCGAACCACCGAACAGAACTGAAGTTAAAATAACTGAACCCTTGTTTTTGGTTAGTGAACCAAACCATGTTGCACAGTTCTAGAACAGAATCAAATAACAAAAAACCGAACCGAAACTGAACCCTGAAAATTGCTAAAAACAATTTTTAAATTTTTTATTTAAAAAAATTCAAAAATTTTTATTAAAAATTTTTTTTAAAAAAGTATAACAGTTCGGTTTTTTAACAAAATGGTTTGGTTTGGAAAAAATGTCTTCTAACAGTTTGGTATGGTTCGGAATTCCAAACAGGTATACCAAACCAATGTTTTTGGGTCGGTTTGGTTCTGAGTAAATTGAAACGAAGGTTTGGTTCGGTTTGGGTGACCTTTAACCATAGTTCGGTTCGGTTTTCTGACTGAATTGTACCATGAACAACCCTAATTACCCGATAGATTAGAAAAGCTAGTACATCCTAAATCTTAGGGCTGGCAATTTCACCCAAACCCACTCCATGGCAGGGCAGATCCAAGTATGGGGTTAGTTTGCCCCCGACATCACCTCTGCATCACAAATCCGCAATCGCTCACTGTAGCAATATGAATGACAACATAGGTTCTAGACCTCAATAACATTTATGATCACCATATCCGTCCAGAATTCAGAGGAATAAAAGATGAACATTTAATACAACTTGAGTTTCCAGCTATATTTGGTATCTTTCAGGTATCTTGCAGTAAAAGATGCAATTATGGTTTGAGGAAGTGTGTATCTAGAACACAATCATTCTGACGCCATACATGATTGGTACCTGAACATAATAATTGTCAAGTAATAACATGCATTATCTCCTAAGCAATGGCCACATATATAGATGAAATGCACTTGAGAAGAATGAGTTTTTCATTCTAACAAACACCTTTCTAATTTGGCTATTTTTCGGAAGCCACTGCTTACAACACAGAAAAACACAAACTAATTTTCTGGGGGTTTATTTTGTAAGGAGAGGAAAAACTCATCTAATTGTCATAATTTAAAAAATGAATAAATATGTTCTTCAAAAAAGCAAAAACAGGCCCAGAGAGGGAGGAAACTCCATTATCTGCTGTAGAAATTCCAAGAGAAAAATGAAGTACCTACCAGTAGTTGGAAATTTCAGTTGAGTAGAATCTATAGTGTATTGTACCATCTTAAATACTCTCTTTCGTGCATTAGATCATATGCTTTGAAAGGTCAAAAAAGCTCCCTCAACCATTAAGGCTTTTGAGTGGACAGCAATCCTTCACCAGGATATAACACTAATGTGACTTTTTAGAGATATGTGATAGGGGGTTGGATATTATAGGGGGCCCAAGCCTAGGGGTGTGCCAAAAAACTGGTTCACAAGGGCCATTTAAAAAATCTGGTGCACCTATTTTAAACACAAGATACATTTCATTAAAACCAAAAAAAAAAAAAAAATGTACCCACTTTTTAAAATCAATACCTAAATGGCCAAACCTAATGTGCTTTTCTAACCTATCGCGCCCATGGTAGCTCCACTATTCCTTTCACCTTGTTAGACTTCTCGTCACACTGGTGCATCCTTTGATCTGTTACTCTGTTTCCTTGCCCTTTCTCATTATTTCTCTCCATGAAGGTCACTAGACTCGCCAGAAAATCAAACAATTATTGTTCCAATTTCGGAAATGTCACATATCACAAGGATCAGATGCCGACGAGACGTTATTGATTTCAATAGCAGGTTTCAAAAATGTCAGTTACTATTCAAGGTTCTGACGCCAACGAGAGGTTATCATCATTTGGACAAGGCTTTGGCATCGTCGAGAAGCAACTATATGCAATGCTCCTTCTTTCTAGATAATTTTACCTTCAAGAAATCCTAATTCAGTGATATCTTGTTCAACGGAGGGATATTCTGATGCACCGTTCCGGCAGTCTGGAACAGTGAGTGTAGAAGAAAAGCATTTTTTTCATTGATGTAATTGGAAACGAAGGGAGTTCTAGAAACGAAAGATATTTCTGAATTGGATGTAATTCGAAAGAAGTTGTAGGATTGAAAACTGGGTTATTAATCAAAACCAGTAATAAACAGGTTCAAAACTGTTTCAAGAGCATAAACTGGTTTTCTAAAATAATAGTTTGGTTTACCAAACCTAAACTAAAAAGTGGATTGGTTTCTATACTTCAGTTAACCATGCACATCCCTACCCAAGCCCCAAGTCGAGTAGTATGGTATGATCGGTGTAGTTTTTAAGTGGCTTAGTTCTTCCCCCGTTGAAAGTTATGTTTTACGGGGGTGTTCCCAAAGTGCTTAGATACTTATCAATCGATATCAAAGCTGATTGTCGAAGGATCTCGGAAAGAGGAAGGGTTTCCTAAGGAGGGCTGACCTGAAAGGCCACGTAAAACGCCAGAGTGTAAATCGCCGGGTTACTGACTCTCTGGGGCAGTGCTATGATAGGGGTTTGTGTATTATAGGATGCCCAAGCCCTGTGCCGAGTAGTATGGGATGCTCAGTGGAGTATTTGAGTGGCTTGGTTATTCCCCTTGATAGCTAGCTTTTAAGGGTGGATTCCCCAACAGCTTAGATACTTATCTATATGCAAGACCTCAATATTGCATTTGCCAACAAAGAAAGATTGGACTAAAAAACAGAAAATTAAATAAATAAATAAATCATGAGAATGACGACTGCAATGGACAAAAAAGGCCAAACACACGTGACTTCTTGCAAGGTGAATACTCTCAACAAGTCAACCACAGAAAATGTGATTAAACATACCCCTAAACTGTAAAACTACAGACAATATATATTATAAAGTCTAATAACATACTACATCAAGTTTTTTACACGGCAAAAAATGTTGAAATTTTCAAATTTCCGTAAAAAGGGACTGAAGAAATTGGGAGAATGAGATACCAAATTCTTCATAAACAAAAAATGCCAGTCACTGTAGAACTTACCTGTATCAAACCCTTCACACGCCACACATTGTGCTTTAGAACGACAATTTTCGGGTCATCCGGATGCAAGGAATGCATCTCTTGTCTAACAGATTCTATGGCCACATTATGCTCTGGCGAAAGCTGGATTGCCAAAACCTCCCCAGTTGCCTTAACAGTCCGTCCAAGCACGGCACGAGAATCACCAAGGTTCGCAATATAGAGAGAACCACCACAAATCACACCAACCAAACAACAAGATCCCACAGCAGCAATCTGAGGATTTATAGGCCACTGCTTAGTAACCACTCCCAGAAAACCTTCTTCTGTGGCTTGGTACGCCTTCCGAATAACCTCCACAGACATAGACTTCTGCTCAGTCGCGAATCCTAAAACAAAATCAAAATACACACATATAAAACACCAACCCAAATGTTCCAAAGCAACAAGAAATGAGAACACTATGGATTAAACTAACTCCTCTAAAATGAGTTTCTTTAAACTTGTAATGAGAAAACCAAGGAACCATAACTATGAATTTGTCAAGTATATTCAAGTAGGATCTGACTCATCTAAAGTGAACAACTTACTCTAGATTGTAAAGCAAGCAATATCAACCAATGATGTTAAATCAACCGATATAACAACTATTGATTTTGCTTTTCACTTCACTATCTACTCAGTTTATAGGAGTCAAATCCCAGCAAGTAACATCACGTCAAAAGTTGATTTTTCATCTACAGTACACGACCCCTTTAAAGTGAATTACTCAAATGCATAGATATTTTTTAACCAACAACATCTACACTTCTAATTAACATAAAACAACAACAAAGTCTTAAAAATAAGTATTAATTTACGTTTCAAATGCTGGAAGAGGTGATCACAAACGAAACGAGAAGTCTCAGGTCCACCATGACCATCATAAACACCAACAAAAGTACCATAAGGTCCAGTATCAAGAAAACTAAGGGGACCAGACTCAATCTGACTCTGATCTTCAAGCAGGTTATTAGCCTGCACAACCGCCATGGAATAATCACCAAACAAGTGTTGGCCGGCATCCTTGTACCAAAGCAAACCTTCCTTCTTTCCGCAAACATCGGATGATTTTCGAGCCGAGGATCTTCTCCGCCAACAGGCGCTTAGAAAGTCCATCAACTTTGATAGCATCCCTCATTTCACCACCAAAACAACCTACTGTTTACTTTACATCCAAAATTGGATGCAATCAAACACTACCTGAAAATATAAATAAATAAATATATAAATAAACAAGTAAAATAAATAAGTAAAAGAAATAAAATAAAATAAAAATTGATAAAAATATACTGTGATATTTTTTATTTTTTGTGTTGTGGTGGATGGAACAGGTGTTAGATCTAGAGATGGTTGAAAAGTAAAGTAAGTGGAGATAGGGTTTTTGTGATTTGGGGCGGTGAGGTGGAAAAAGGTATATAGAGAAAGAGAAAGAAGATGAAGAAGATGAAGACGAAGAAGAAGAAGAGAGTTTGAGATTGAGATTGGGATTGGGTTTGGGATTGAGATTGAGATGATTTGAAGGGAAAAGGTGTTAATGATGATGATGAGTCATAGGGTGAGAGTGAGTGAAATGAAACTGATGAAGAAATGAAATTGAAATCTATTTTACTTTCCTTTTATTTCTCTTTGACTTCAAACAACTATTCTTTAATTAATAGAAAGAAATTGAAAATTCAATAAAAAGAATGTGTATTATATTCATAAAAAAAATTAAAAGTAATTTTTATTTGTACTGGTTTTTTAAATATTGTCTTTATGGTCAACACTGAAAAAAATAATTGGATTTCTTTTTATTAATTTTTTTTGACTACTTTTTATTAATTTTTTTGGATTTTAAATTTACTTTTAAAATAGGCAATATAATTTTTTTTTGATAGAATACTATTGACTCATTGTTAAGAAAAATATAATTTCTGTGTCAGGGAAAGTATGAGAAAAAAGAGAGATTTTGAGGTAATAATTTTTCTTTTTATTATTTTTTGTGTCCTTAAATAAACTACAAAAAATACAATTGTGTCTTAATTATAGGATCTAGAGACACTTGTCAGCATCTATTACATTTGATGAAGAGAAATTAAATTATTTTTATCCTCAATATTGTCAGGTACTAACGGTAATAAAAGCTGGAGGTAGTACTATGACAGCTCACAAGCTTATCACCGCAAGATATTTGTTCACATTCTGAACCTAATGGGCAATTGGGATGATCTTTGGGGCCTTTCTCTTGGCACAATATTGGAGTTGTTGTTGTCTATTTTATTTTTTCCTTTGTTTGTGTTGTTGGGACCCATTTGGTTTGTAACATTACCGTACCCATTGAGACAAATTTTGTCCTCAAGATTAAAGTGGGGGTACTTTACTTGAAACAGTGACTTATGTTCCTAAGTTGCTTTAGAAATTGGAATGATGTCCCATTGAACCAGTACTTCTTTGATTTCACCATGCAGAGGTTTGTGAGCTAGCACAGCAGTTGGGGTCCGTTCTTGAGGCGGAAAAGCTACCGGATCAGGAAGGGGGGAGACTTGAGTAACTGGTTGGCCGTGACAAAGCTTGAGGAGAGACACATGGAAAACAGGGTGGATCCGGGAGGAAACGGGAAGCTCCAGCTCATAAGCTATTGGACCAATGCGTCGGCGGATGCGAAAAGGGTTGTAGTATCGCTTTGCTAGCTTCTGTGAGGGTCGATGTTGGACAGAACTTTGTCGGTAAGGTTGTAATTTCAAGAAAACCCATTGATCAACTTCAAATTGTTTGTCCTTTCGATGGAGGTTTACTTGCTGAACCATACGATTTCTGGCTTTAGTGAGGTTTTCTTTGAGCAGGCGGAGGATGTGAGCTTTGTTGTGAAGTGATTCATCCAAGGTGTTGATTTTGGTTTTCCCAATGGTGTATGGAACTAAGGTGGGTGGTTTACGACCGTAGAGGGCTTCAAACAGAGTCATACATATCGTAGAGTGAAAAGCTGTGTTATACCAAAATTTCGCAAGTGAGAGGAAGCGAACCCAAAGTTGTGGCTCGCCGCTCACAAAACAACGCAGGTATGTTTCCAAACAGCGATTTAAAACTTCAGTTTGTCCGTCGGTTTGAGGATGGTAAGAGCTACTGAAAGAAAGTGTGGTGCCCATGTGTTTGAACAAGGAGCGCCAAAACTGACTGACAAATATACAGTCTCTGTCGCTAACAATTGTTTTGGGTGCCCCATGGAGTTTGTAGATCTCAGAAATGAAAATTGCAGCTAGTGAGGCAGCAGTGAAACTTGCAGGCAGCGAAATAAAATGGGCAAATTTGGTGAGGCGATCAACAATGACCCAGATGGTGGTTTTATGGTGCGATTGGGGAAGGTTGGTGATGAAATCCATGGAGATGTCATCCCAAACTTGTTGAGGTAACGGTAATGGTTGGAGTAAACCGTAAGGGGCATGGGTATTGTATTTATTGTGTTGGCAAGTGGTGCAGTGATTGACGAATTGTTTGACATCTCGGTGCATACCCGACCAATAGAAGGATGCTGATACACACGCCAAGGTAGCTTGAATACCGGAGTGGCCGCCTAAAGGTGAAGCATGGAATTCTTGTAGAATTTCCAATCGAAGCCCTGTTTCTTCCGGTATAAACAGTATATCTTTGAAGTAGAGTAGGTCTGATTTTTGAGAAAAATGTTTCTTCATTTTGGTGTCTTCTTGTGCTTTCCTGATTAGATTCTGACCTGCAGGGTTAGTAGAAAAAAAGATTGTAATTGAGAAATTAAAGGGGAAAAAGGGGAACTAATAACTGCACAGATTTCCTCAATTAGTGGCTCAGTTGCTCGAGATAATGCGTCGGCGACAACATTGTCTTTTCCAGGTTTGTAATGAATTTCATAGTTATAACCCACAAGTTTAGTTAACCACTTTTGTTTCTCTGGGGTTTGGATTGTTTGTGTCATGAGACATTTCAAACTCTTATAATCTGTGAAGATCTTAAAAGTGGATCCTAACAAATATTGTCTCCATTTTTTTATTGCTTCAGTTAGGCCATATAACTCTCGCACATATGTGGATGCGGCAGAAAGACGGGCGTTCAGCTTTTTGCTGAAAAAAGCGATGGGTCGGGAGTTTTGGGACAGAACAACGCCAATTGCTGTGGTGGATGCATCAGTCGTGACTTCGAAGGGTTGGGAGAAATCAGGTAAGGTAAGTGTAGGTAGTTTGATCATTGCTTCTTTGAGAGTGTCAAAAGCTACAGCTGCTTCGTCTGTCCATTTGAATGAATTAGCTTTTAGTAAATCAATGAGAGGGCTGGCAATAGATGCGTAATTCAACACAAAACGACGGTAGAATCTTGTAAGTCCCAGGAAAGCCCTAAGTGCAGTAATGTTTTTAGGTGGAGGCCAAGAGATCATGGCCTGAATTTTTGAAGGATCAGCTTGTACACCATTTGCTGAAATCAGGTGTTCTAAATAGTCAATAGAAATAACCCCAAATTGGCATTTGGATAGTTTAGCATAGAATTGGTGGGTAGCAAGTAAAGCTAGGACTTGGTTGATGTGAGTGAGGTGTAATTCCCATGTGGGGTTGTAGATTAAGATGTCGTCAAAGAAGACGAGGGTGAATTTGTGGAGGTAGGGTCGAAGGAGGTCATTCATGGCGGCTTGGAAGGTTGAGGGGGCGTTAGATAAGCCGAAAGGCATCACTAGAAATTCATAGTGGCCGTCAAACGTGCAAAAACCAGTTTTGTGAAAATCTTCCGGAACTAAACGAATTTGGTGGTAACCGGACCTTAAATCAATTTTGGAGAAATAGGTTGCTCCATGTAACTCATCTAAGAGCTCATCAATGGTTGGTATGGGGAAACGGTCCTTGATGGTGATGTTGTTAAGAGCCTTATAATCTACGCAAAACCGCCAGGAGCCATATTTTTTGTTCACTAGTAGGACGGATGAGGAATATGGGCTAGTGTTAGGTTGGATTATCCCATCTTGCAACATTTCTTTAATAAGGTTGGTCACAGTTTCTTTTTGATAGTGGGGGTATCGGTATGGTTTGAGGTTGATAGGAGTAGCATTGGGTTGGAGGTGGATGTGATGGTCATTATATCTTGAAGGTGGTAAACCTTGTGGTTTTGAGAAAATGGGAAGGTAGTTATTAAGGATAGGTTGTATGTCAGGGTGAAAGGTTTGAATGAGTTGTGCATCTGTTAAAGGATTGGTGCTTTGTGGTGGTGAAATATGTGTGGGATGGGTGGGGACCATGGAAATAGAGTGAAAGGTTGTGATGGCATTAGTTTGTAGCATGCAGTGTAGTTGGTGGGCAAAAGCTTGTGTTAGGGTGTTAGGTTTAGAACCAGTGATGGTGAGGAGAGCATCATTTTGATAAAACTGCATAGAAGGAACACTAAAATCAGAGACAAATGGCCCTAAAGTTTGCAACCATTGAACCCCAAGAACCACATCAGCCCATTGGATAGAAAGAATGTAAAGGGAAATCGTGAAAAGATGTTGATCAACCATTAAAGGGGTCTCTTTGCAAAGACCTATGCAATGTAAGTGATCACCGTTACCTACCATCACTGAAAAAGATGACAAGCTTTGGATAGGGAGGTGTAAGAAAGAGGCTACGCACGGTTGAATGATGTTATAGGAGCTGCCTTAATCGACCAAAACTGTAATGTGGTGGCCATGAATGGATGCAGTGAAGTGTAAGGTGCAGGGGGAGGGATGTCCAGTGGCAGCTTGGAGGGACAATTGGAATATTGTTGGTTCAATGTTAAGTGGTTCTGTAATGGTAACATTTGTGTCTTGTTGAGTAATTTCAGGATCTGTTTGGGCTTCGAGTAATGGGACCGGGTCTGTTTGTGTAATGAGAGCACATAAATTAGCATCTGTCGGTGTGGAGTCATCGGTGTCATACCCCAAATTTGTCCTACATGTACTTTTCATTTGTCAAAAATGTGTGTGGCATGATTGAAGTTCAGCCGGTTCTGATTGAGTTTTGGTTAAAAGAATGTTTGTTCATGATCAGGTCAGGGTTTGCATGATTTTGAATGGTGTGCGTTTGAGGTTCTAAATAATTGATTTTGTGCCAATTCAAATCATCTGCATGTAAATCAATTCATAAGGCTTTGTGGTTGAGAATTGTCAGAATCCAATACAT